CAAATTTTATAAAATTAAAAAATAAAAATTACATAATTAAAAATTAAAAAACAAAAATACATACCACAAATTTTAAAAAAAAATTAAAGTACAATTATTACTTTCACTAATAAAAAAAAAAGAAAAAAAAAAAGAGAGACATTACATAACTCTTAAATTTTTGAAATATAAAAATAAAATGTATAGATGATATCATTACGATTTTAAAGTAAAGAGTACCATAGAATTTGAGCATGCTAGACGACAACTTTGACACAAACAGGAATCTGGCACAGAAGCGAAGCATAAAGCGTTGTTTCTGGGCTCAAGACAACCGTGCTTTGCTAGGATCAAAGTGTAATTAATTTCCACAAATTTTACAAAGAAACTTGTCTAGTAGCAGGTTGTTATCATAAATCAAAACAATTAATGTAAATTCCAGTTTTGGGCTCAAGACAACCTTAGCTTTTCTAGCAATTGAACTGAAAAATAAATGGTTGGTTCCACATTTTATGCTTGAAAAGAATACTCCGTTTGCTTCACTATAATGGGATTTCCAAACACACCTTAAGGAAAGGGAGAGGAACCTGGATTGGTCATTTGTTGTGTTGTTGACCTATTAATTGACCTCTGCAATATTTAACTCAATGTTGGGTCAGTGTGTCTAGAAGAGTACTAGCAAAGAGTCACGAGCATTCACACACGCACTGATAATGCACGAAGCACCAAGTTCACTGCGCTTACGCGTGTGGGGAAGTAAAGCTAAACTCATCACTGCCAAGGAGCCTTTGGATGCCACAAAAAGAAGTGAGTTACACCTTCGCTCCTTTCCTCGTGCATTGGACCATGCATTTGTACATAGACTAAGCAAATGATAGATAAAGGTAAAAGCTTATATTTTAATTCATACTTTCTTGTATCCAAAAAAGTTATATTTAAATTGTGTTTATTTATATATTTTAATCTTTGAATAACGAATCACAATCTTGTTTTCGTATGTATATTTATGATTTAAATGTGTTTTAAATATCTTAAATTAATAGATAGATTTTTGTGTAATAATATTTAAGAAAGTTTTTTAAAAAATTGAGTATAAAAATAAAAATATATAATTTTTTAATTACAAAGATTAAAAAATTAATTTTAAATTTAAGAGATTAAAAATAAATTTATTTTAAATTTAAAATATACTTAAATCAATTATTATTTACAATAATGTTCACTTTCTCCTTTATTTAACAGACAAAAAATTTATCTTTGAAATATGTAAAATATTCACTGTAGCCATCTGTATTGGTCGTCAAATTACGAAAAAACAACTAAAACTGACTGAAATTATATATACTAAATAGTATATTATCAACAATGTAAATAAAACTACAATCATCTAATAGTAGTGACTCAACAGGCTATAAAATATATACAATGTCAACCAAAAATGTTACTCCAACTAAGGTAGTCTACAAAAATAAAATAGAATCATCTACTCCAGCTCCTGCCATTTAAGTGACTTCCACAAAAGACACTAACATATCCCTACTCTGCTCTCATACATCATATGATTATCTCAATCCAAATTACATGAAAACATGAAAGGCTAAACTAATGAAAATAAACAACTCATACATATGAAACATACAACACAAACAACTTAGCATCACTATCATCATTTTCATCAACTTGTTCAACATACAACACATAATATTTAAACAACATATGAATATAAAAACAACCTGTAATACAATATCACTATCAATAATAACAACTTATTCATCATGCAACACACAACTTTACAACATCTTTAAAACATATCAACACATACAATTTATCAACACATGCGTTGTCACGCATTTTAACTCGGAGATCTCCAACAACACAGGGTGAGTAGCTTAAGTGGCTAGGTCTTACCAAATCGACAACACAGAACCATTTTTGGTCTTGCTAGGTAAACAACAAGTTTAGATAAAAATCCACAACATGATAACAGTTTCTCAAACTTTGCCACATAAACAAGGAAGTATATTAATATGTTAAGATAAGACAACTAGGTTTAGGCCTACCACGACATTAGCTAGCTCAACTAAGTCACATATGGGATTAGCCTACTGACTATCCTTCAAATACTACAACCCTCTGATACTCGGTTAGGAACTAAGTTTCCGACTTCGTACTTTACTCGAATTGGCCGCTTGTAATTGGTATAGCTCAACCTGACTCCTATACTGTGGTCGCTTCATACACGTGTGTCTGGACCTTGCCCACACATGGGATCAACTAAGTCCTAGAGGAGAACAACACATCATCTACAATAAGGGACAACTTTCCAAGGATATTTTTTTAACAAATTAGGCTTTTAGAGCACCACAACTATCTTAATCCACACAATAGGATGAGCAACTTCAAAAACATCTCCATTAGTCTTAGTGATCAACAACTCATCATCACAGCACAACAACTTAATTATCATTTTATCAACTCAACTATCAACATGCATGCATCAAACTTCATGATCACCCATTTTTACCCAATTTATTCAAGAACACCACAATCCCAAACAACATGTAACCTACCCAACTCAACTACTCAGCCCCAAATCACATCCTAGATGATGATCCAACTACATACAACCCAAAATATACAACAATTCGAGTTCTAGTTCCCCTTATCTCGTATTGGATTGAAAATCTAAGCTCCGAGCCTACAGGAATAAATAAGAAGAAGAAAATGAAAATGCTTTGAGGAAGAAGACTCTAACAATAACATTGTTGCTTTCCTCACTTCTCACCAACTCAACCTTCCAAATCAAACACCAACACCTATGATTCAGCCGAGAAAGGGAATGAGAATAAAATAATAGAAGAAAAAATGAAAGGGAGGGCTCACGGTTGCGAGTCTTACATCCACCTATTGAAATAATAATAGACACATAAAATTTGAGGACTTTATAAACTATTTTTATATAAAAATATTTGCAAAAAATTAAATTTATATAATATAAAAATTTATATTTTTTTATAAATAAATTAAAATAATTTATAAATTATAAATTCTTAAGTTTTTTTTTCTCTTTTGTTTTTTTATCTTCCTTAATTCACTTTATTTTTTTTTTTACTATTTACAATTTAGAAAAATTTCTTTACATCTCTTATTCTCTATATCAAATAAATAAATATGTTATTTTATGTTAATAAATTAGCTTATTATGTCAAATATTTTTAATTTATTTAGTTAATGTATAAATTTTTTAATTTCAAACTTAGAATTTGTAAATGTCAAACTAAATTATAAATTAATTTCATCAAATATATATAATTCATTACATACATTAAAAATGATAGTCTGATTTGATATACATATTTTTAAATAATTTATTTTTGAACTTTTAAATAATATTAAAAATTAATATTCTTATAAACATAATATTTAAATTTCAAATCTTGAAATTTGAGAACCAAACTAACCCCACTTAATCTAATGAATATTAGTAACTTTTAACAAATATAAAACAATTATATAGTTAGTTATTTATGATTGCGAGTCTAATCTAATACTGTAGGATGCGCATTTAGAAAATAAACTGCAAGGATCTTTATCATTAATAAGTCGAGTTTTATAATGTTAGTATAAAAAAGTAAAGACAAATTTATAAAAGATAACATTTTAATACTGAGACAGAAACTGACAAACAGGTTATGTCCTCTAGACATATTCCCCTTCACACGTGTATATACAGACAAAAAGATTAAAAAAAAAACTCATAATTTATTTAGTCTTGCAAAATTGCATACATTGTAATATTTGAATAATATTAAATTAATGGTTCAAGGATTTTATCATCAGTTAACCTTTTGAGTATTTTATAACTAAATTGATTTAAAAGGTTTAGTTTGTCTCTATATTATTTTTTTTTAAAAAAATTCTATCAATTTAATCTTACAAAAGATGAGAGTAAATCTTCAAGAATATTTTGTGCATGTAAAAGATATATGATACGTGATGTTTTTATGATGTAAGAGTAGGGTTAATGTAAATTATGAGATTGATTTATTTTAAATAATTGCCTAATGAGAAAAGTCACAGGTTTTGTAAAATGTCCCTTCAAGCTAATGAACTATTATACAAAGAGATATGCATTACATTTTGTTAACACGTGTGAGGATATTAGAGTGCCAATTGAATTGGTGGGAAGATAAAGGGGCATAACGTATCTTTTGTACTAGTTTTTTTTTTTTTGGAGAAAATCTTTTGTACTAGGTAGTAAATTTTATAAAATCATATTTTTATCTTGTGTGGGTTTAGTTCTGTACTCAACCTCTATCAATGACTGTGATTATTAACTATCAAGGGGTCTATACTCTATAGTAACATCCGTTATAATATAATGGATAAGAAAAATATGCTTATTAACAGACACAACTCTATAAAACAAGTTATTACTCTTTAAGAAATTAATTTAATAATACCAAAAATATCGTAAATTAAATATTTGAAACTTTAATACAAATACTTTAAAATTGTATTTTTTAATTAAAAAATTAAATTAAATATAAGACTTGTATATATTTTCATTAATAAAAATAGAAAATTATAACTAAAGATAGTTATGATATTTAACTAAACATCTAAGTTTTACATTTATCTTAAATATAAAGTTACCATGATAAAATACCCTTTTATCTTTATAGTGATTGACTCATAGCGTGTTTGAGTTAGAATCTAGACGTGAAAAATCAAGTTTCATCATAAATAAATAATATCAGTTTTTTCGTAAATGAATACATGAACGTGGAAAGAAAGGATAAAATTACGTTTGAAAATAAAAATCAAACACACACTTAGGAAGATGTTATAAAATTAAAACATTTGAAACACTGATTATAACAAGTCTTGGGGATGAAAAGTTATAGACCGATGACCTAAACAAAAAGCTGAAGAAGGAATTTAAAATGAATCATAAGGAAAAGCAACCCAACTGGCCAACTCTGCTCTCTCCTTTTCACTTTCTCGACCTCTCCTCCTCACCTTGCATCTTACCTCTCTGTCCCTCTGTCTGATACTGTGAAACTTCGTTTTCTGGTTTCTCTTTTTTCCAATTAAAATTTACTTTATTCTGCTTTAGATCCCATACGCCATACCTCATGCCCCATCACACCAAACTTTTACCCTCTCTCTCTCTCTCTCTCTCTTTCTCTTTCACTTTCTTTCTACCTCACACACTGCCACAACTCACATGCACTCTTCTCTTTTTAAACCTCTGCCAACCAAACTCACGCTCACACACACACACACATCAAAGACCACCCCATTTTCTAGCCATTCTTTCAGACTCACTCTTCACTCTTAAACCCTTCACTATTCCCTTAATTCACCTGCAATGGAAGTAAGTCCTTTAATTTGTTATGTCTTCAACTTTCATCGTAATTCTAGCTATATGCTTTGTTATGTGAACTATATTATATAAACTGTATTATATATTATATACATTATGTTACACTATGGTTTCTAATTTATTTTTTCTGTGTGTGTAATATTTAGGAATACTACTACAAGAAGAGCCATGTGCCAGCATTTGGAAGCTGGGATTGGAACGATAACTTGCCATTCACACAGTGCTTTGAGTCAGCGAGGCAAGCTGGTTTGCTACGATGTAGTTACTCTGATCAATCCGAGGATCGTGACCTTTACGTTACGGGGGATCTGTACGAGAATAACGTTGTCACACCCGCTATGATCGTTGTTCCTCGTAGAAGGGTATGTCTCACAAAACCACCACTTCTTCTCTCTGTTCTAAGTTTTGGCAAATTATGCTTCAATAAAGAAAACAGTTAGAATATTGTACAAGAACTCCATCGATTTCTATTTAACTATTTTTGTTAATTGCATACTCTGTTGTTGTTAGAAAAACTAAGGGAAAAGTCGTTTTATAAAATTAAGAACTAAATTATCCATACGTGAATTTTCATATATACTTGTGCTTGAGATTCAGTCTCGACCGAGGTATACCATGTTAGACTTGATTCTTATGCACCGCAAGTTTTTAATCTATTATCCTAAATATAAGTTTATTATAAAATTCAATAAATTTATTGTAGTTAATATGTAAAAGCTATTTACATGTACGTCGTGCATAGAGTACTACGCATTTACTCTATTAATAATTATTTCAAGAAAAGTTATAATTATCTATTCACACTCTCTTTTACTTTATTTGCACTCTATTTTCTCCGTTTCTTTTCTTTTCTTATTGTTATATTACTTATTACATTTATCTTTTTTCTCCTTTTTTACTTTCTTAACTTTTTTCCACTCCCATCCATCTTATTTTAGGTGTATGTTCATAACTGCTGCTATTTCATTTTTTGAAAGAAGTGACTACCAGAAAAGAACATGAAATTATCAAAATATGTGGTCTCGAAAACGAAATTCTACATCATAATCATACCTGTGGGGTTAGAGTTAGACCGTGAGTGTTGAAAAACTGAAAGCAATTTTGCCTTTGTTACTGATTCCTTCATAAAGTGGGGCCTCCTAAATTATTAAATGACCCCATGTTCCACGCGTCACAGACCCTGATAAATTATTAACACGGACTCTGCTAAGTTGTTTTACCCATGTGCACTATGATTGATGCAACAATAAACCAACAAAAGTATTGAAATTTTTATTAAATGACACAACTTTGTTAGATAAGAATTCATGGGTAGACAGACACGTAGAGGACTTTGATGTAAAGCAAGCATTGTGTTTTTGACCTTGCAGGCAAAGGTGCTTGACCAGCATGAAAAAGAAACAAAATTGAAGAATTGGATCAGTGATGTGGATAGTGAACCACCAAGCCCAATTTCACTGCCAAGACCAACTTCAAAACCCGTTGATGAAGACTTGTATAAGATCTCACCGGGGCTTCTTTATGCCAAAGCTAAAAAGGTCCAACCTCACACACACCCTTTTACTTCTTTTAACATGCCATTTTCTTTGCTCTAATTAATATGATTACTTTCATTTTCCAAAATTTCAACTCTTTGTGTCTTTTGATAAAGTTTAGATCACTTTCTAATTTGTGTTTCTTTCTCATTTAATTGGTGCAGAAGAGAGGGTTGTGTTTCTTTTCTAGTTGCTTGATACCAACTTGCATTGCTTGAAATTCAGAGAAGTGGTGGTTTCCAATGTACATATAAGTGAAATAGAGGAATAGATACTTCAATTGGATGATGCTTATGTAAAAGCAGCATATTTTGGGTCGAATTAAGAGACTATTATTTTAGTCATGATATGGGGTTGTCTTCTTGCCAATTTAGATTTTAGAGGGTGCTTTTTATTCTTCCACTTTTCCGTTTAGTCTTTGATGTACTTGTACTATGGGCTGTGTTATTGTCATGATTAGAACTTGTGTTTGAAAAGCTGTGTAAAGAATTGGAGACAAAAAAAAAAGGTTTGTAAAAAAGTTCATCTGTCCATATCACCTTATTCTTATGGATATTCCCCGTTAAAATCCTTTTGTTGAGAGAACGATTGCTCGATAAAATGCATCGTATAACTACCAACAATTCGTTGCTTTAGAAACTATTTAAATTTAGATAAAGTTAAGATTATCTAAATAATTTAGAATAGTAATCTTAAATTGTAATAGATAAAAGGTTTAAATATATTTATACTTTCTTAAGTTTTTGATAAACCTTTTTTTTAAATTTAAAATTATTATTTTTAATTATTGTAATTTTTAAACATCTTTTATATTATTAATAATATATTTAAAAGTAAATCGATTGAGATAATAATGTGATATTTTTACTTTGACATTAATTGATAGATTTTATTTAATAATATTTAATAGATATTGTAATAAAATTCAAGAATAAAGATTAAAGTAATATTTTTTAAAATTATAGATTAAAAATATTAATTTTAAATTTGAAGAATGGTAATAAATTTATTTTAAATTGAGAAGTTAAAAATATATTTAAATCTTGATAAAAATATCGATATTAATCTTAAATGAGAACATTTTTATAAAAGTTATTTTAAATGAAAATATTTTAAAAATATTTTCAACAAGAACATTTTTGAGGATTTTTTTAAAAGAGTTAATCATCCATACACTATAAGTGTAAAATTTTTTACACTGACAACCAATCATATCTTTTAAATTATTTTATTTTATTTTTATTTGATTAAATAAGAAAATGACATGACACTATTAAAAGATATGATTGATTGTCCGTGTAAAAAAACTTTACACTGTCAATGTATAGATGATTAACTTTTTTTTAAAAAGTGTATTTTTAATCTTATACTTTGATCAAATGTGGTTAACATTTTTGTCCTTTGATATCATGAATTTGATCTTTAATTTAAGGGGGAAAAAACATGTGTATTCGGTCATTCCAATCTAAATTCAAGATATTTTTTTATTTTTATTTTAAGTTTGGTGGTATTAATTCTACATTTCTTTTAAAGTTGGATCAACAAATTCAATAATATACATTGAAAGTTTAAAGGATCTTGCTCATGATGGATCGAAATTATAGAACTAAAAACACAATTTGTTTTCTTGACCTCTTATAAAACTAAAAATAAATTTATAAATGTATTCTTAAACACTCAAACTAATATAAATTCTGTTTTTAGTCTTAAAATCTATATTCTTTTTTAATTTTTTATTTATAAAAATTACAATGACAATATTAGAATTTGAATTAAGATCCTTTCTATATTACTTTCAAATTTCACCACTAGACCGATCTTTAATAGTTCAATTTTTTTTAAAGTATATGCTAATATATTTAATATACATGTATACATTTATTTTCAAACGATTATACGTGATTATTATGGATGAAGTCAAGTAGTCTTTTTAACTCTTTCGTCACTTTTTTGTAGTAATTATTAAGTACTCTTTAGTTTTAAAATAATTGTCACAAAAAATTATTCTAAAATATTTGTTATTTTAATTATTCAAGGTAATATTAATTATGTTTTTTTATTTATACTCTTAATATTAAGTTTCTCTCATCAATTTATTACTTTTTCTAGCATTATATAAGGTTCATCATATAAAACTATCATTACCTCTCATATACATACATACATACATACATATACATACATACATACATATATATACATACATACATATATATATATATATATATATATATATATATATATATATATATATATATATATATTATTTGACCCGTACAGAATACTCAAATACTTTATTTGATTGGGTAGATTTAGTATGTATAGACTTTTAAAATCAGTTACTAATAACTAATTTTGTATGTGATCAACTTACAAAATTAGTTAATGTTTAACCGATTTTAAAAGTGGACCTCTAAACTCACCATGATAAAATATGTAGTCACTTAGGCACACATGTATCTTATTATACTTTAAACCCATGGGACATAATATTTTTTTTGCCTCATAGTTACAACTAAGAAATATGATACCCCCAAGAAGCATTTCTTTCAGCAAACTCTAACAATTTTGTGAAGTTTTTTTGTCACTCTACCCATTTCTCACCTTTAGATTGAACAATCTCAATATTGTTGACAAACTTGGGAAATATATGCAATTTGGACAAGAACTTCTCTAAATTGTTGTATAGAGTTTCATACCTATGTGAAGTCTCTCTCAATATCATAAATTCCAAAGTAATTACATGTAGTATAGACTGGGGTATTTATAGATTAGGCTGTGAAGTCATGGACTTTTATTTAGGGTGACGACTAGATATAGATGTGTGCACATTTTCATGCTAAATGTGAAGGAAATGCAACACAAATCTATGCCAAATGCAACCCTAAATGACATGCCGACTTGGTGACAAAGGATGAAATCCTTGGTTTGGCTAAGCTACATCTAGGTGTATAATAAGATTATGCAACCCATGTGCCCTCCTCTTAGGCCTAAGCTTCTCCAAACCCAAAATAACTCCAAAAATCACCAAACAACACGTCTAGGCCTTTCCTCCCACCTTATCATAATTCCCTAACTTTAAAATAAAATCCTATAATCTAAGGCACCCAAAAATATAAGGGTAAAATAGGAAATACAAGCAAAAATAAATCATATGTCTAAGGTACCCAAAATACAAGGGTAAAATAGAAAATTAAAACAAATCTTATACTAATAAGGTTTAGGAGCTAAGGCCCAAAAGTAGGCCCACTCCTCCTATGATTTTCAAAACTAACTCATTCTTCTTGACTCCTTAAATATATCACCTCTTGGTCTTCTTGGCCTTAGCGAGATTCCATCACAATCTACTTTTATAATATTTTGTAACTTAGAAATATGAGTCACCCAGCAAAACTTATCAAGAATAACAACATGTGACCAACGAACAGTGCCTGAAAAAGCCAAACAAGATGGTGTCAAAAAAAATGACCAAAGCTATGGCTCGAGAAGGAGTGAGGCACTTATTATGAAATTGAAAAATTTTATGCGCATTCCAAATAACCCAAATAACATGCACAACTGCTGCTAAAAGAACCTCCTTGACTTGGCTGGTCCATGTCGGAACCTACTAAAAAAATTTAGTGTTTCCAAAAAATGCACTTGGTTTGAACCTCCGTTTGAAAATCTCATCAGCTTCAAAAAGCCCAAAGATTGAACTTATCCTCCGTCTGATAGTTTTAGAAAAAATGGTTCAACGGAGTCACCATCGATATTTTGCAAAAAAATATCAAAAATTGGAAATAGTTTTCAAAAATTTGACTTTGGCCTTCACAGTCAGGGTCGGGTTTAGGGATCGATTACGTATGGGGAAGGAAGGTGTTAGGCACTCCACAACATCCAAACTTGGTACCCTATGACAATTTTGGCATTATAACAACGTAATTAAATTTTTACCCCTATTTATTAAGCACACATAACAATTTACATCTACATTATTCCTAATCTACTGCATGCATATTACTTTATTATCTACATGATGCTTATTCTATTGCATACAATAAAAGTGATAAATAAAGAAATAAATAAGCGGGAAGAAATTGGAACCTCTAAAGCAAACTTTTTTATATATTTTCTCATAAAGTTGTACAAGAGCGCTTTTTCGCAAACTCCGCACTCCACAAGACCTCACTAATGCTCAAAACTTTTAACTGAGGAAACTCTGAAATCTCTGCCAAAGGGTCCAGAGATCTCTTCATAAGAGTGACACTGAGTTTATTTCACTCAGATTGACACTGAAGAGAGTCAGAGAGGGGGAGAGAATGAGGTGTGTGTAAGAATGAGGGGGTGGCACACATTTATAGGTTCCTAGGGAAGGGGAAGAGTCGTTACCAATTTGGAATGTCTATTTCACGCCTATAAATTACACTAAAACGTGCTAAGTGGAATGACCATTCCAGGCCAGTATGCTATGAAGGGGGAACAACCATTCTACCTCTAAGAATGGCCCTTCCAAGCCTAAGGTTTTAACCCTTTTTGATGCAAAAGAGCCTCTCGGATGTCCCATGCTCCATCTCGGTGTGCTCTTGTGTCTTCCTTGGTTTCAGGGGGTTGCTTATCTCGACTTATAAGCTTTTTGACCCTTGTAGATAAAGCCCTGACAAAACCTAGTGTCTACAACTACCCCTCTTAACTTGCCTTTTGGATAGCAAGATATTATGATTATGTTTTCCAAAAGAAAGTAAAGATGTAGACGTTTTGTCCAGGTCTTTATCTTCTTGTCTCCATGGGGATCACTAGGGGAAAAGTATTCATTGCGGCCTCTCTAGGATAATATTGATGTTAATACTCGGCTAGATCTATTAATGTCTTGTAGTTAAGCGAATGAGTTCATATTTATCGAGCTTCTCCAAGCTCACTAAGAGGTGTTGAGTTCATCCTTTTCGAGCTTCTCCAAGCTCGGTGAATATTTTGTGTTGACCTCTCCAGGTCTCTTGAGTGTTGTTGAGTCAGCCTCTTCAAGCTGAACCAAGATTGGCAGTTCCACGTCGGTCAAGAGTATTCTTAAGCTCAGCCTCTCTAGGCTAGACGGGAATTGATGGTTCCATACCGACTGATGGTATTTTCTGAGCACAACCTCCTTAGGCTGGATGGGTATTAGCAGTTCCACATTGATTGAAAGTATTTTCTTATCATAGCCTCCTCAGGTTGGACAGGTATTAGCAGTTCCTCACCTGTTGAGATTGTTGAAGTTATGGTAATTGCTAAGTTAATTACCGAGTAAGTTACTAAGTCAATTACTGAAGCCCCTCATGAAGATCTTTATGAAGATTGAAGAAGATGTTTTAGTTTTGATGATGTTAGCATTAGATTTATATAGTTTTGTTTAGTTTGCTTCATTTGTTTTTGTATTTCATAGCCTATGTTGAAAAGGATAATGTATTGCTTGTTATTAGACTTAAGCTTGGATGTGTTTGCTTACTATGATGAATTAATTTCAAAATTACATCTTGTTTTAGAAAGCATAAAACTCATATTTTAACT